TTGAGGATTTGCTCTTGCTCTTGTTCAGTTGTTCTGGGTAATTTCTCCACTATTTAGCTGTATCTTCAGATAGGTCCTGGATTGAGGTTAGTGTGGCTTCTACTCCCTCCCTCACCTTCTTCTGTTGTTATTGTTGGTGGTTCCTTTGTTGTTAGGTTTCCTCTTCTAGCAGTATACTGGTATTCACAGCTTCCACCTACACTTTTTTGTGATCAGTTGGAGGGGTAAGGCAAAATGGTGTAAGACAGCAAGAGTACACTGTATGATATTTACAGTAGCAGGTTGTAATGAAGAGATGGGAGATCCTTTGGCTATGTATAGTGTTAACCATGATATTCCGCCCAACTAGTCATTTTTTAGAAAGGGTGGAAAGAAGATAAAATCCTTCCTGTGGAGAAAAGAATTGTTGAGCTGGATCTAGAAAGCAGTGAGATTGTGAGAAGTCAGATTCTGAGATAAGGTGAGAGTAAAGGATAGTAAATAGGTGTAGTGTGTGAGAATATATATTTAACCACCAGAGTAATAGAGTTCAGGAAACCATGAAGTGGGCTAAGATCTGGGAGGGGTGTTGTGTAGTATTTAACAATTGTATGGAACAGCTATTATTTACAATCATAATGGAGCAATAATCATATGACAGAGTCCATGTGATCTGGATAACAAGAATAGGAAGTGTAGGACCTTGAGTAGTGTGCTAATTGAATACAAGTGAAGTGAATGATAGTAAATTAAAAATACACTATGAAAAAGAGAACAAGGAAAACCAAACAATGCAATTTATCTAGCTGAGCAAAGAAGACTAAACAGAAAGAAGAGGAATACAAAAATACTATTAAAATAAAACATGTAAGAATAATGAAAAAATAACAATACAAATGTGCAATAACTTGCAGTTTCTCTGTAACAGCAAAATGAAAGCTGTCTCACTGTCTCAGCTATTGGGATGACCCCTTTTTGGGTCCAAATTTGGTCTTTTCAGAGTTCCAGGTTATCTGTCTCACTTGTGGGAATTAAAAAAAAAGAAAGAAGATATAAAATGGGAAAGAAAGGAAGAAGGAATAAGACAAGAAAGAAGGAAAGAGAAGAAAAAGGAGTTGAAAGATAAATAAAAAATAAAGACTGGGGACTGCTGGGTCAGGGTTTGTCAAGGCCCAACTCTTAACTCTCCCCAGCCAGCATCCATAGACTGTGAATACTCACAGCCCCTGTGTGTTTGCCACTTAGTCCTTATTGCCCTCTCTGCAACTTCAAGCAACCAGGTCTCTCCCAGTGCTGCTCAAACATTGTTTGGCCGGGGAGGCAGCCATTGATCCAGCTCTCTCCCAAGAACCCTATGGCAGACCTGGTGGGTGCTGGGCCTCTGGTTGCAGCCTTCCTGGTCCCAGGGACCTTACTGTCCTGAAGCCCTCTACTTACCATCTGGTTTTTCAATGTCCTCTACAATTTTTGGTTTCCTACCTTTATATATGCTGGGGTACTGTTGGCTGTTTGCTCTGTTCCTCCATAAATCAGCCAGGTTTTTCTCCCTTGTGTAGGGGGAAGTGGAATCCGCTCCCTCCTACCTTACCACCATCTTCAGTCTCCAAATGTTAGATTTTAAACCATGACAAAAAAGTAATGTTCAAATATTTAACCACATAGCCAGAAAGCATGATTAATAACAAACTGAGAAAATGCTAAAGCAGAATACCTATTACTATTTTAAGTTATTTTTCATGCAAGTAAAGGTAGTTAGGGAGTTTTGAATCTTCATTACTAATAGTCACTTGCAAAATTCAGTTTCTTTAAAAAGCCAATCTATTCACTTTGCTGTGATCAGACAGATCGATGTTTGATCAATGAGAAAAATTAAAAGAGGTAGCTTCTGCATTATGTCTAAGGTTAATGGGCTAGTTTTCTCACACACCTGTTTTAATGGTCAGTCCATACTCATTGTTTGTGTTAAAATTCCCATTGGCTTAAAAATCAATAAATTTTACATAAAAAAGAAAGATTTTTGTACATAATTTTCTACCAAACTAGAGGTCCATATAATTGCTGTCAAAGGGAATGATTTCAAAGAAAAAATAAGATTATAACTTCCTAGAAGTTAAGCCAAAAGACTATCAAAGCAGTGCCATTTTAACGGAACAAATGAAAGCTACATCTCTTGGATCACCTATAAACAGTATTTCAGAACTGGGAAATCTTCAACTGTGATAATTTATTTTCCTTAAATTCCCCATTTTCTGACACAACCTACCTGCACAATCTTAACTGAGAAGACCTAAATTTAAGAGAATTTTCTAACAAATATTTTGTTACAAATGACACTCAGTGTGAAACACATTTCCTCACTAGGTTAACATTCAGAGACTTTACAGTTTTACTGTTCAAGCATTTATCACAATCAGTAATTACCCTGTCTTCTTCACTGGTATACCTTGTCTATCTAACATAGTACCTGACACTAACAAGCATCCATAAGTATTTACTGAATTAACAAATGGATGATTTCAGTAATAGGGAGCAAAATATAACAAAGAGCTAAGTTGTCTATGCTCTTAGATTTCTCACAAATGTTTTTAAAAGCTGGATAATTATTTTTAAGGGTTGTTAAAAATGCTTAAGACATTGTAGGTCCTCAAAAAAGTTGCATCTTTTTTTGGAAATGAAAATGACCCTGAATTATTACAGCAGGGTTGGAACTCACAAATATCCTTTAAAAAGAGTGAAGGAGAATGAGAAACAACAAAAGAAAAATAGTTATGCTTATTACTCTACCAGGGTTTTATACAGTACATGGTATAGTAATAAAACTCTGGAGATATTGTCCCCATTTTAAATATAAGCAAAGTGAGAGAGAGGAAGTCACTGGCGCAAGGTCAGGGAAGTGCTGGAATAGGGATTAGAATACCAGTTCTTCCTTAAACCAAAGCCCACTTTATTTCTTCTACTCCATGTTGTCTCTACAGGGAAAAAATATATATATATAAAACATATATATAAAATGTATATACAACTTTTTCCAGTAACATGCACTGAGTGCATTAAATGATAGTTATTTGCAAAGAAATATTTATTCATTTATATCATTTTTACAATGAGAAATATATAAGTAAATTAAATAACTAAATTACATGTTTGATTTGGTGAGGTTGAAGTGATATGGGAAAGAACAGATAAAGCCACTAGAAAGGAAACATTTCTATGTATACATTTTCAAACCCGCTATACCACTTATTTTATAACTAAAAATCTTCAGACTTGAAGGCATTTTTTAGTTTGGAAAAATGAAGAGATATACCTTTAATAGAATGATTTAAGATTTATCTTCAGGGTAATTTTCAGGTTTCCAACCGGAACTTAAAGTTCAAGCCCATCTCTTGGAAAAATTTTCTAAATTTTGTTAAACTGAACAATCTACACCACAGGTGGCAAACACAAGGCCTGTGGGCAGAATCCAGCCCTCCACCTTGTTTTATCTGGCTGGGTACCTTGTTTCTGCCCAGCAGCAACACCAAACTCCTTGCCCCTGTATAAAAGTAGTTACACTTATACATTCCTAAAATTATATTTGGCCCTTGAAGGCAACCAACAGGCTGATGTGGCTCCTGGTGAAAATGAGTTTGACACCCTGATCTACATGATTAACAACAAGGAGATGGTTAATATTTATAGGACAATATGAGAGAACAGGAAAGTAATTCTGTTAGACTGGTGGCATTTATGGATGAATTGTGGTTTTTAAAGGGTTTTTTTCATAGTGTTTTAAAGCTTGTTTCACATTAACTTTGAAATAAATGCCTTGATCTGTTTTTTTAGAAAGGTCAGAATATCACTGAAAAAAGCTCTACTACCCCCCCCAAAAAACAACAAACAAACAAACAAACAAAAAACCCACAAAGCAAATTGTCAGCACTTTCTCAAACTGAAGAGGTATTCAGCAGTGCAAGGTGCTATCACATAAGGCTCGGCTTCTGATAGTAAAGAATTTCCTGCTGAAGCTTGGTCATTCACCTGTCTGGCAGAGGAGATGGAATCCCTGCTCAGGAAGGGAAATATTGAATCCCTTGGGTACAACTCCACGTAAGCTAAGCCCCATGTGGACTAAGTGGGAAATTAAGACTACAGTAGTTCTCAAAATGTTCCCCGGATCACCAAAATGGAATCACCTAGGAAAGTGGTTAAAATGCAAATTCCCAGGCCCACTTCCAGATACTAAATCCACATTTCTGAAAGGGGGGTGGGTGCTAGTCACAAGGTGGAATTCTTGTGCACAAAGACGTTTGGACACACTGGACTGGAGGCTGAGAGACAACACGATGAGCAGGTGTGTGTGGAGCCCTGCACTCTTGGGTTTAATTTCAGTTTTTCCATTTAATAGTTCTGACTACAGAAAGACACCCAAACCTTTTGAGACTCAATTGTTTTCATACAGAAAGAGAAGACCAAGTAAAATTATGAGTGTGTTCACATAAGTATATGAATGCTAGTTTGCTTTAATCCCTTTATATACAATTATCTAGAAACATCTGCTTCTCTTCCCCAAAAGCAGTGTTTTGCACCTTTTTCTCATTACCTCCCTCCAGGGATCCTTTCTAGACATTTTCTCTCCTACTCCACCAGCTCCCTTGACATTTAAAAGTCACAGTGAGACTTGTACACATGCTTATGCTCTGCAGCCTTTAGGGGAGGGCAAGAGACACTGTATTCTCTAAGCCCTTTTTGCTCCTGAGAATATGAGCACAGAACGCAAGTCCTAGAGAGAGATGACTCGGTCAAGTTACACTGCAAATGAGGGCAGAATCAGATCTCCATCAGTCACAACGGTTTCCTGTGGATCCCCCAGTATTTTAATGATTTACTTTTAACTTGTTGCCAGCATTGGAAAATCGGGAGCTTCCACATGAGAATCCTGACATTCACCTTCTCAAGACCCAGAGCCTCACGGACCCTGCAGCTCCCGAAAGTGCGGCCCGAAACCCCCCTGCCTCCAACAAAGGGGCCGCAGCGCTCACCACTTAGGAGCAGGACATCAGGACGCCGGGGAGCCGTTGGTGCTGCTGCCTCTGCAGTAGGTCGTCAGCTCCGCTGACGCAGCCCCGCCCGACGCGGCTTTCACAAGCCAAGCTTGGAACTCAGGGGCGGCGGGATCCCTGCCCTCCTTCGGCAGGACTGTCAGTACCACCACCCATCACCGTCTCACCCACACGCCCAGCAACAGCGCAGCGTGCAGACCCTTCACCAGGGGCGGTGAAGCCGCTTCTCGGTACCCTCCTCTGCTCTAATTGCAGGGTGCCCCGCTGCACGTGACGCGCACTGGCCAATGATAGCTCGTAGCAGCCAGTGATGCAAAGGGAGACTCTGGGCGTGGTGAGAGGGCACAGTCACTGTGGGGTTGGTGGGCCGGGCGGAGGCGGAGACGAGGGCGGGAGAAAGTGGTAGGCTGGGCTGCAAGTGGTTATAAAGTTCCGCTCGGGCTGCGTTCTGCCTGGCTGCGAGGAGTCCGAGTGTGGCTCTGACTCCCTCTGTGATCATCGACCAATCTCCAAAGTCGGTGAGAGACGGAAGGGAAACAAGAGTCCAAGGTTTGGCTCTTCTTTCTCCCAGGAAGGGGGGCTGCTTCCAGTTTCCTGCCTTTGTATGTCTAATACTATCTCCTACTTACACTGGCCACCCAGCTTCCAGCTGGTGGCATGATGTTTCCAAGGACACTTCCAGGAAGGATGGGAAATACTGGAATCAGAGCATGGCCCAGTAGGCACTTCATACCTGCTACATCAACAGATGAGTTGATGGGATTCACATACCTGTAACAAATACCCCCAAATTTTGATATTCTAAACCCTACGCTTTTTAAAACTCTGTCACAAAAGAATGTGTTAGGTAGCCCAGGGATCCAAACTCTCTGTGTTATATTGTCTTTACAGCATGGCTCCCACCCATGGATTTACCTTATGGGCCAAAATGGTTGGTGAAGTTCCAGCCATCAAATCCTTATTTTCGAATGGGCCTTTATAGAAGCTACAGCCAACAACTCCTACCCGCATCTTATAGGTGTGAACTTAGCCACAAGCCTCACATAGCTGGGAGATGTAGTCTAAGCACATATCTGCTCTCCATAAAATGCATTTGGATAAGATGTCTAACAGATCCTACTACATGTTGTTGCTTTTAAAGCACTTGCAAAGAGCCCTGTACCACACAGCTGAGTAGAAATAAGACCTTCCCCTTGCTAATAAGTTGTTGTTGCACTCAACAACTTATTAGGAAAAACATACTCTGTGAGTCACACTGTGTCAGATGCTTTATATATATGCTTTGCTTCTATTTAATTAACTCTGCAAGGCAGACATTCCTAGCCCCATGATGCAGATGAACCCTGGAAGGCAAAATGGTGACAAACTAGAATGCAGAAGAAGAGCCTTTAGATAGACCAAATGGTCTGATATGAATTGCTGCACAATATTGCAAGCACATGAGCCTAAGGAATGTAATTTTGGGTGCTAGGTAAACAAATGCCACTCTGTCTAAGGCTGATAAGAATCAACAAGATAAAGATAAGGCCACCTACCTGTATCTCTGAAAGCAAGCTTTATATGATATACCAATGTAAAGATATTTTCATGTCAAAATACCAATATGATGGTGTAAAAAAATTGGAACAAATTGAAAATTTTGAACTTGATATTTCCTAATATGGACTAAGGGTGATTAATATGTATTGGAACTCATTTTGTGCATTCAATAAGCTTTAATGCCTATTGCATATTTGCTGCTCCATTAAGCATCAAGGACTAGTGAGCTAAGTTAGACATTGCCTGCCTTCAGGGAGCCCTCACTCTATGAGTAGAAGGAAAGTACACAAGAAAACTTGAACATACCATGATAACTATGGGTGGTATGGGAACATGTGAGAAGGGCATCCCCTGGAGAGGTGGGGAGGAAGAATGAGAGAGTTGTCAGAGAAGAGTTTCTAAAGAGATGATAACTGAGCAGAGTCTTGAAAATTGAATTGGCAAGGACCAAGCTAAGCATAGGGAGTGATAGTACAAAAGTATGTAGATGGCAAAGAGAGTGGCACATATGACTGCTGGGTGGGTATGAAGAGAGAAGGTTCAAGAGCACGTTAAAGAGTTATGCAGGGGATCCAGAATGGCTACAGAGTAGCTGAAAGCTCCATTCACTTGCTCCCATACCTGAACTGGTCTTGCAGCTAAACTGCAGAGCAATCAACTAAAAAATCCAGTTGAGAGCAAGCGAGACTGAATGTGAGTGAGTGTGTATGTGGACGAGTGTGTAGGGCATGTGTGGGAGTGGGCAAGAGCTGGCTTGCCTGCAGGGCATTTGGGAGCAGGAGGCCTAGCTCTTCTAGTGGAGCAGCCAGAAACCATGCAGCTTTGAGGTGGGAGACATTTTGAGGAATTTAAAATATCCTCCTGAGGAAGAAGCCTCCGGAGGGCCTGCACCATGCCACCCAGACCTGTCTCTGTGCTCTCCATCCTGGGCAGGGCCATGCACCCCACCACCACCGGGAGCTAGGATCCAGGGACTGCAGTACTTACTCCAATAGGGCCCAGCACCTCCCTGACCCTGGGCACCATGGGAACTGAATATGGGACAGAATCTGACTGAGGAGGCTGCAAATTGGCTCTTGAGCCTCCAGTTCCAGGGGTGGAGAGAGGTGGCTAGGGTGGTGCTGGCTGCAGAAACAGAAGGTGGGAGTGTGCCTGAGTCTGAGAATCACTGGAGGGAGTGGTGAGAGTACCCTGCCACTGCCAGTTATTACAGTTTCACTGCAAGACTACATTCAGCACTACCCAGGAGAGATCCTTTATGCTTTGAGGGACTCTGTCAGGCTGTGGGCAACCCTGAGAGAGAGAGAGAGAGAGAGAGAGAGAGAGAGAGAGAGAGAGAGACTGCTTTTGTGGAGAGGGAAATGTGTGCAGAACAGGCCCCCTCAGAGCTTGGTTCTAAAAGTGGGGGGGGGGGGAATCACACAGGACGTTTTTAACATTGTTTTAAAGATTTTATTTATTTTTAGAGAGAGGGTAGAGGAGGGAGAAGGAAGAAACATCAATGAGTGGTTGCCTCTTACACGCCCCCTATTGGTTACCTGGTCCACAACCCAGGCATGTACCGTGACTGGGAATGGGACCAGCAACCCTTTGGTTCACAGGCTGGCACTCAGTCCACTGAGCCACGCCAGCCAGGGTGGAAACTCTTAAAAAAGGAGATGAAGCAACACCAGAGACTCGGAAAGGATCCTGTGCCAGTGTGTGGGTGTGTGCACTGGCAGCAGCTCTGCCAACAAAGAACTGATAGTGATAGTCATGCTGAAGGGACTGTGGGACTTGACCCAGCACAGCTGGCAAGCAGGGAACTGTGCAGAGTGTACAGTTCGGGCCCAGGTCTCCTGCAAGAGCAGCAGGCTGGGGTCTAGATGGCCAGGAGCTGAACTCCTGAGATTCACTCCAGCCAGGCAGGTCCCTTCACAGGCAGGTGTGCCCAACCACTACCTGCAGGATTACAGGCTCCGCAGATCAGTGAGGCCAGGCTGAGGAGCCCCCTGATGGACACATATCCAAAGGAAAAGAAGGCAAAGCTCCCAAAGGCCCCTTTCTACCAGGCACTGTAAGCTACATTGTTCCTCAGGCCCTGATACACTGAACCCAGAAGAAAAGAGAGGTTAGAGACAGGTGCAACAAGGCACGTTCGTGGCTGTACCCAGCCTCCACACGTAGACAGAGATGCTGTTTGCGGTGAGCAGGAAAGAGCTGCTCCTTTTACACAGATTGGCCCCTCACAGGAAATGGACAGCTAATTCACCAGAAACCATATATTACAGCAAAGAATCTGGGACTGACCAAGATGTGTGGGGAGGGGGTGGAGCAACACTCCCACCATCTTCCCTGAAGACTGAACAGTGCCCCTCCCCCCAGGGATGACCCACGGTTCTTACCTTCATAATTGCACCAGAGTACCCCTTTGGAGGCAGGTATAGAAGGTATTTGCAGTCTTCTTGGGTCATCAAAGGAACCATTCCTGGGCCCTGAGATGATGGAAAGCCAGGAGGGCAGAACAGTGGGGATTGGCCAAATCTGAAGGATATAACCACAGACTGTGGATTGCTTGTAGTCTCAAACAGGATGCCTAGGGCCAGACTAGTATACCACCTCACATCACCAGGATATGGATCCAGAAAGAGAATACAGTGGTAAACAATGGATTCTACAGAGACAAATTCCACCACAATCTTCATTATTTGTGTTATTTTCTCTCCTGCACAGCTTTTTAACCATCATTTCTTTATAACACTAGTTTTTAAAATTTTTTAGTTTATTTCAAATCTCATACTTTGCTCCTCCTTTTTCTTACTCCATTTTACCTTCTTCCTTTCTCTTCTTAATTTTGTTTTAAATTTGGGTTTTCTCTTGCTGTGACTTGTTTCTGTTCTGTACTCTTACTATTTCTCCCCTCTCTACCCTCTCAAAACCATTTTTTCTTGACATTAGTCATCTCACATTCTTTTTCCCATTCAAGTGGGAAAAAGAGACCATTATTATGGTCTCTTATTCTCTCTCTACTTTTACCTGTCTTTGCTCATTGGTTGTTGATATAGTGGTTGTTGTTTCATTTATTCACTTTTATTCCAAGGTCTACACTATTTTTGTATTTCAAATCTCAAATTTTACTGTTCCCCTATCTTACTCCATTTTGCCTTCCTCCTGCCCTTTCTTTTTTCTTCCTTGTAAATTTTACTCTTTCCCTGTCTTAGCCTGATTTTCATTCTTTACTCTTAGCATTTCTTCTCCCTCTATCCTCTCAAAATCACTCTTCTTCCTCTAGATATCTTATAAACTTTCTTTCTTTTTTCCCATCTTATTCACATTCCACTGTTATTAATCATTGCTCATTTGTTGTTGATATTGTTGTGGTGGATCTTCTCCAATTTGGTTCCTATTTTTTCACTATTGTTTTTAATGTTTTTAGAGTTCATACTATATTCTTCCCCTTTCTTATTCCACAGCACCTTCTTACCCCTTGCCTTCTTTAAAATTAGAATGTAAATTCTACTTTCTTTCTTTCTTGACCTTGCTTATATTCCCTACTCTTATTATTTCTCCTTCTGCTACCCTCTCAAAATAATTTTTCTTTAAGTTAGTCATCTCATATTCATTTTTCCTTTCTTATAATAGTCTTAATATCTTCACACCCTTATTAGCTTATTTGCTATTTATTGTGTGGTTGTAGGAGCAGTTATTACTGAGGTAGTGGGTTTTGTT